CAAACAATCTATTCCGTTGCGACATGTCGGATTCAATCAGCGTTCTTTGCAATAAATAAAAAAAATTGCAAAGTTATCTACGTTCGTGCGTGCATGCAAATTTCTTTTTCTTTCTTTTGGACACCACTGCGCGTTGGCAACGCTTTGAACGTATGAATTCCGAGCTTGCTCTGGCTGTTATGCTCGTTATAATGTTACTTTGGCTTACACTGGGTGATCGGATCAATCTCGCAGCATGGGCGTCGGCATTCATATCGTTAAGGAAAAGCGGCGCCTCTCGTTAATTTTTCTCAAATGTTTGCCGATAATGTTGTATTTGATTTTCAAAATACTATATTCATACGTATTTATTTAATAACTTTAAAGTTATTAAATAAAAACAGCAAATAGTTTGTAATTTGTATAAATAGATATAAAATGTGATGTTTTTCGCGCTAAGCCGCCACTGATGTTATATTTAATCTCTTCTCTTCGCCAAGGGTGAAAACCCTTCTTATTCCCCTTCTACTCGCATGAGCGACTCGATTCGCATCTCGTGCAAGAATGGTTCAAGTAAACGACATTTTATTTCGTACTCGAACGATGGCTCCGAAATATTTGCTCTTTTACTAAAGTGTACTTGTGTAGAGGATGTTTTTTTTTTTTTTTTTAGGAATGACAGATGTGAATTATCTTAAACAGAAAAGAAAAATCCATAATAGGAACTTTTTATATATAAAGAAGTATTTTGAATACAACAGCCTAGATCTTGGGAAAATAATTACTTAAAAATATATTTAAAAAACTTGAATTTGTTATTTATTGCTCATTATTTAATTTTGTTTAATATTTAATACACTGATGATATTAATTCACATTACAATTATCTATTCAATTGCTAACAATATATGATATAATAGGAAATTGTCATTTTTAAGATGCAGAGGAAGAATGAAATAAACGTAAAGAAAAGAGAAAGAATATACTTTAAAAGAATACATTTTTATTTCTCTACAATGTTACAACAAAATTGCATTATAATATATAATAATTGCAAAATTTTTATGTTTTGTAACATTTAAACTTATTTTCTGGAAAACTTTATTTTTTGAGTTGCGTCATTGTGTAGCAAGTAAGGGGTGTAGATGTATACGCACTCACGCACGCACAGATGTCCCACAATTTTTGGCCAAACGCTATTGTAATAAATTTAGATTCTACGTTTTTCCTAATCTTCGTATTTTAAATTAAAAGTAAGAATATGTGCAGGGTGTCTCACAATTTTTGGTCAAACGTTTTTGTGTAGATAGAGCGTATTAAACTGAATCGAAAAATCCTCTTATATTTTTGCAATTTTTGCAATAATTAATGATAGATGTTAATTACTAAAAATTGCCGAATTTGGTTTTCAATAATTTTTTACTTAAATACTATTAACATTACAAAACAGCAAGAGTCAGAAATTGTTTATTTTCTTCCTATAGAGCTCTAAGAATTTTTTCAGAATTCTTTAACTTTTCAGCATTTTCTTATTGACAATTATTTTTACTAACATGAGAAAATGCGATATTAAAAAATTCTGAAAAAATTCTTAGAACTTTATGAGAAGAAAATAACAATTTTTATCTCTTGCTGTTTTTCTGTAAGTTGATAGCATTTGAGTAAAAAATTATTGAAACCAATATTCAGTGAGTTTTAGTAATTAATATCTTGTTAACTGTTGCAAAATGATAGAGGACTTTTTGACTCAATTTAGTCCGCTCTATTTATACAAAAGCGCTCAACCAACAATTAAGGGACACCTTGTAGATATTCTTACTTTTAATTATAATTTAAAATGCGAAGATTTGGAAAAACGTAGAATCTAAATTTATAAAAGTACTGTTTTATCTGAACAGTGCTGAACGAAACTTTACTCGGAATTATTTAAAGAAAAGTCTTCAATAAAGCTTTGAGATTTCAAAAAGATTGTAAAAAATTTATAGATAATTTTCGGTTTGTTTTTTGAAACTGACTTTCTCGAGATTTGTTAAAGCGAAAAAACTCATTTTAGTAAGACACGAGACATGTTACATGATGTAATACAATTTATCCCAAGACCTTAAGATCTCCAACATAAAGGGTCGGCTAATCACGTTAGACGATATCTCGGACTATTAAAAGCATTACACTGCTTTCCGCAGCCATTTGTAGTCAGTTAACTCGCAATTAAGTGCAAACTCGGCATCGCTCTGTATTCGTGGATTAATAAATCACACTCGCCATTTCTCTGAAGAATAAATCGACGTGATTTGTTTATGTCGAGTACAACGAAGCGATTTTGCACAGCAGTTAGTTTCGCAGTTACCTCGTTAATATGACATAAAAAAATCTTCGCAGGATTTGCTGCTGAATATTAATGTCGATTTTTTTTTAAATTAAAAGCGGAATTGTACGAATTAAGATTTAAAGATAAAAAAGCAAATTACGCGACATTCCTAATTCTATCTTTCCCAATTAAGATTTAAGGATCAGGAGGAATTAATTATTATACATTCCTAATCTTATCTTTCATTTCCTCGTTCAGAGAGAAATCCATCATCTTCCGAAAAAAATTAAACATGCAAAGCTGCAATTTATATTCATCCAGAGGCACTCTAATTGTCGTAGAGGAATATTACACTGAAACAGATTTGCAATAAAGCGAAGGAATAGTCGCATGCACAGTATAAATGAACGCGTATTAAGTCTCGCGTGCAAAGGTGCTTCACTGTCAAGATAACAAGCATTAGTTGGTTTAATTATAACGCCGCTAAATGAAGTTCTCCGCCTTAACGAGCTTTCGTTCCGTTGCACTTGTATAGTTTCATATTACTGCTACGTATTATGAAAGCTCGACACATGCTATACATAACTGATATCTTAGCTAATTTTTCTTATGTGTGGAATTCTCGAAGGAATCGTTTCCTCGAAGGAAAGTTTTCACAATGCTCAAGAAATATATTTAAGAGTTCTTCTCTGAAATGTTAAGCTTTTTCTTTTCTCTGGTGACTTGTCTCTTATAAGATCTATTTTTTTATTGAATGGTACATACATTTCTTAGATGTATCTAACGTTTTCAATTTATTAAAAATATTAAAATTTAAATGTAAGTTATAATTATATATACATTAATAATATATATTAATATATTAACATAACAGTGAGTTTAAAATTTATTAAAAATACGAGTTTTCTTTTTCGCTTTAAATTAATATATTTACAGTACCTAATATAAATTTTTAATAAATAATTAATAATCATTTATAATTTTACTGTTCCGTAAATAATGCGGCCAAGCATTGTCAATTTTTCTATTATACTGTTGTAATTAATAGCGTTACCAAGTTTGCGTGTTCGAATTTTATTGTATGTCACTAGAAGTTTATGAACGGAATTTATATCAAGATTGTTTATACAAAAAAAAAACGCCACATATCGATGTGTGCCTATGACATATAGTTTGACATTTTCATGTTGTTCTACACATATTATCCGTGCACAAAATAACCCAGCAAAATTGTATTCTTTACAATTCTCCTAACAGTCTATTACAGAAAATAATAAATAATTACAAGAAGTAATTGAGTTCTTATCCGCTATTTTTGTTATATTTATATCATTCGAAAAAAGTGAAAAAGTATTAATAATTAATGATACGAATTAATAATATAGAATTAATACACTGTAAAAAATGAAATGTTTACTTATAGTCGTAAATGTTCAATTAAATTTTTACTTATAGTCGTATAGTGCATTTTCTGAAACATGCAAAAATATTAAAATTAAAGTTAATCTTAACATTTTTGCATGTCTTAGAAAGACATACGTTCACTATAAGTCTTTAAGTTATAATTAACATTTTATTTTTTACAGTGTAATATAAGTTATATGAATTAATAATATATAGAAAAGATGAAATTGATTTATTGAGTAATTCTTCTCTGCATTTTAAATAATTGATGTTATAACAATAATAATTTAAAAAATCTCATGTTACATTAACTTTTTACTTAGAAAATTTTGATATATCCAACTGAAAGTATTTTGCATATCAAAAGGTATTCTATAGTTTCTGTTCTCAATGAAAATTGATGACTATCCCGCCGAGACTATACTGGCTACAATATATAGAAAATAGAATACGCTTCCAAGAAGTCTTCAATTATGCTTTCTGACGCTAATGTGCGCCTGCAAGTTGTACAGTTATCCGATACTTAATTATCTAAAGTAATAAATCGATTTCCGCGACGTTGTCCTGTCGTTCGTACAGTTCGAAACAGTACGAGACAGTTCGCGTTTAATTGTCTGACAACTTTTAATGTCTCCAATGAATTATGTAATTATATGTAACGAGAATTAAATCTAATAAATTTAATTTAAAAAATTTGATGCGCAATCTAAAAATAGATACAGTCATTATGTATAAAAATATCTGTATAATAATATCTATTCAGATAAATATTTTATCAATTAATTTTTTTAAATTTATATATATTTTTTTTATTTAAAAAAAAGGTACGAAAAATTAAAAATATGTTTTTTTTTACTCTTATTTGTCATGGTGAATTTTACTTTTTATTTAAATCTTGAGAGTCCAATTAAATCCTTTAAAAATGTGTGTACTTAAGTACATATTTTCTATAAAAATTATGTGATTTATAAATTTATTCATGTGGAAAATGTAATAAATCTGCTTTAAAATGATTGATCGCCGAATTTTTAAATCGTTTAACCAAAGTTAGAGCTAAAAATATCGTGACTTTGGAATTTATGTAAATTTAAAAATTCCACATTTCTTTCAAGAAACATCATGAGATTATTAAAACCTGATAAAAATAAATATAAAAAGTCCTAAAGAACAAAAAATATGTATTTATTCAATTTAACGTAGAATCGTGTCCATATATATATATATATATATATATATTTTCTTGTAAACTTATTATTTTCAGACGTTATTTTCACAGCAATTGTTTGGAACTATTCTGTAATTGTTTCAGAAAAGTTATCAACCTGGAAATTATCGAAGAGGATTCCTACGAGAAGGATGCTCTTTTCTATGTCGAATTGGGCGAGCCGGTGCTGCAAGGAGGTGATTAAATCTTTTATCAATTTGATTAGATTTTTTAATACTGAATTTTCCGACATACTTTGAAGTCATTACGATAATACTTCCTTTTCCTATTTTTTAAAATACAGGATCAAGCATTTAAATAGGTATACGAAACAAAAGTTCCCGAGAAGTTAAAAATTTACAGTCAATGAAGTGAATGTGATACAATAATTGCAGTGTATATAACAGATAAATTATTTTAATGAATTTCAATTATTTTTCCGTAACAAATATTTCAGTTACTTTGTTCTAAAAAATGTTGCAATAAGGAAAATACAAGATAATTTTGTGGGATTAATTTTTCTTTTAGGAGCTTTTTTGCGTGCTCGTAAGAAAATGTGATACACAAATTTAAATTACTTTTTTTATCGTGTACTTTATATCTATATATGTTTATAAGCAAAATATATAAGAAGCAAAATCTCGATTTAAACTTTCAGCATTTGATTTCGATAGCGCCGTCACTTGCTTACGTTGTTCTTTTCACTCGATCCAATGCAATTTTTGCTGATACGAAGTTCGGTGGAAGACCTTTCAGTCTCTTGACGAGGATAAATGTGATGGGAAAACTTTGACTCTAACGGGAACACCACATAAAAACTTATCTATTTTCGAATAATTATGTTTAATTGCAATAAAAAACGGTATGCTTTAATATTTAAATATGTTTAAATTCGAAACAACCTTAATAATGAATACTCGATATTTATAAGGAAAACTATTAATATTTATAAATAGACAAAACATAAAGAATTATTAAATATCTGCATTACATCTTACATCCTTATTTGCCTATAGGTATCTTAAGTTTTACTAGTTAAAGTTATATAATCAAAGTTTTAATATTTAAAAGAAGAGAAAAGAAGAAAAGAGAAATGTCGATCGATAAAAGCACGAGCGTGACGATTGGCGACGCTATTAAGATTAATCGCGATTAATTATATAAATAGATCGATATTTCGTGATAAGAACGCCGATGATTTGTCCTTGATAAAAATTGATTTCCACGTGTCTCTTCATGCATGTATCACGCGCTGGTTCTCTGTCTGGATCCGTCATAATTGAACGTAAGTCTTGAATAAACGGACATTTTGCGCTTGTCCAAATTTTTTCTTGCGCATCAGTTAGTCCCGCGCTGATTGATTTAATTAACTGTCACAGTAGTATGTACACATTTTAATACAAACGGATTTTTTATTCACCGCGAATTATCATTTCGTGATATTTTCAGGAATTTTTTACAGCAAAATCAGGAAGGAATAAACATTTCTTATAATTGTCAATATATGTATATATATGTATTAATATCATTTTGTTTAAATTATAAACATTATATTATAATTTTGTCTGTATTGTTATTTAATATTTAAACATTCTTACTGTTTCATATTTTTTAATATATATATATATTAGGTGCGCAACTAAGTTCTCGCTGTATTGAAATATATAATATATAAATTATACAATTAAATTTTTTAGTAAATTTTCTACCTCTTTTATGTTCAATTATTTCATTAAATATTTATGCATATTTAAAAAAAAAGACGTTTTTTTTGTAAATAACACAAAAATAATTATTTTTTTTTGTTTGGATAAGGAAATCGCGCTTTATTTATTCAGTTATTTATTTTATGTGAAATTTGAAACACAGGCTTTTAAAACAATCAGGTCCGCTGTAGTGCTTCTCCATAATTATTAATGGCTTTGCCATAACACAAGGCTTCATTCATGACATGATAATTAGTAGAATAGAACATTGGAATAGACGCTTATTTCGTGCAAATTAAAAGAAGGATGTGAAATGGTGTCAATTGCCGATCGTCTTGTTTTTGTAATTAGAGTGATAAATTTTGACGAGTGTGCACGTGATTCTCGCAGACTTTTGCATACTAACTGCACTAAAATTTCGCACTAGCTTCCGTGATTCAGATTTGTAATATCAAATTATACATTTCATGTTTTTGAGTCTTCTGTCATCTCCATTTACAAATGTACGTTACATACAATGTGTCACTCTTAATGTCACCTCTGAAATGTCTCTGTTATTTTTAAAGGAAGAATTTTCAAGAAAAAATTCTTCCCTTCAATGCTCGATATAGAAAAATAAATATTTTACATATAATAAATATTATATAAATATTATATAACATATTTTTGTTTGCCACAACATGATATTAATAAAAATAAAGGATTTTATTAACAATAACAACGGTAAACTTTAAAATCTGAAAAAAAATATGGTTTTGGACTTTAATACTTTATTAACTATGATATTTGATTCCTTCAAATCGCATAACTTCTTTCTAACGAAAAATTTCAAACGAAAAAAGATATTTCTGTAATTACGTCGAGTGAATATTCTGTATAATATAACGACTTTATTCAATTATATGAGACTCAAAAGAGCTAACAAAGACAAAAAAAAAACTTATTTGTATCTTTAAAAGCAATTTAATTTTTTAGATATTTTCTTCTATTCGTGGATATTAAATTTGTATATGAAGGGACGGAGATGGAGATATTAAAAATGAGTAAATAACATATTAAAATATAAATAATAAATATAAGTAAATAACTGGATAAATCATCTCGTTAATAAATAAAATATAATAATTTTAAAAATGTGCTTGCAGAATTTATCCATATTTTGAGCACATTATTTAAAATATTACGCGATATTTTTACGATCATTTTTGTGCCTCGATTAACTTTTTAATTTCAACTTGATATATCAGCAGATTGCGCAAACAAAGAGCCTTTGATCTCGATGCCTTTTTCTCGGTGAATAAAAGTCGTCTGATTTTGTTTCAACGCTCACGTCCACGTGCAAGTTACGATTTGCATACTACAAGACCACGAAAACACGTGCAACGTGCAATTGTATGCTGCAGCTCATGTATATGCACATTACATATGTATAGAATGCGAAACCATGAAACCATTCTCTTACTTTCTATTTTTCGATCAACTCTTATTGTAATAATTTTTGATTCACGTTCTACATTACCAGCAATTTTTTCATATTACTTAAAAACTACGCAATTTTTAAGAGAAACATTAAGAAGTTATAATTTCCATCGCATATGTTTTCGTATCGAATTTTTCATACTGTAATATCTTTGCTACTAAATAAAAACAGAGAAAATAATAATTAAAACAGAGAAAAATAATAAATTGAAAAATATAAAAAATGTAAAAAATGATATAAATATAAAAAATTCTTTATGCTCTTTCTTTTCATATTTTTGAAAAATATAACTCTCTCTCTTTAGTTTCTCTTTTCAAATTTATAAATTTCATGTTTTTAATTAATAATAACAACATAAAATATACGAGTACAGTTTTTAAATTTTTTTGTTGAGGAAATACCAAGAAACACACGATAGTATTTTACGTTAAGTATACGCGTAAGTGACTCATGAAGATGAGATGAGTACTTATACTTTTGCAATTCATCTCGCTGAAACTCCATCGTAGTACCTTGAGTAAAGCTAATGTCAGTGGTATTCAAACTTTGAAGATTTAGAACTACTTAGGAAGTTTTTAATGAAAAGGTTCATAACCATTGTTCCTAAAACGCCACAACATAGCTACAAGAATAAAAGAATCTTTGAAAGTGCGCGCGCGCGCGCGCGTGTGTGTGTGTGTGTGTGTGTGAGAGATATTACTCCAAGATCTTTTCTTTATCTCTCTCTCTTTCTCTCTCTCTCTCTCTCTTACTTTTTTAGTTATACAAAATTAAGCAACTTTTATTTAAAACATCTTTTCTATAATAATAATAGTAATAATAATAATAATATCTAATAATAATAATAATGGTGATGATGATGATAATAATGATGATAATGATAATGATAATGATAATAATAATTGTAATGAAATAACAACAACAACAGTAATAACAATAATACTGTCTGGAATAATACATTCCTTTAGACATGTTGGACATATATTTACACATATATTTTAAAATACAAAATATATTAATTCTAAAGGGGATGATATTATATAAATATAAATTGGAAGTGTGAAGTAAAATGTTTTACTCTGTTTCCAAAAATATATATCTTTAGAAATTAAAAAATTCATAAAATATTGATGAGGTTTTAAGTTTAGAGATGAGTGTTTGGCAATAAAACAATTGTCAATGGTTCAATTTGCTTACAATTGCATTGCCTACAATTCAGTTGTGTAGTCGGCAGCTCTAATTGCTACTGAGAGATAGACTACAAGCGTTATTATGTATAAGTAATAGTTCAGAGTACGGATTTGCGGGTAAGCCGCAATGTATTATAATTTTACTGTGCATGTGTGTACGTGCGTACAACCACACATAAAATAATTAAATCAGGTTAATAGTTCGTATACGCATGTATCGTTAATAATATAGTTGCGTGTTGCTAAAATTTCGAGTGCTGTGAAAATTTCTCGAGCATTTTATGCACACTATTCTAGTTTAATTTGCGTAGAAAGTTGCAAACCTATCTGGAATCGAATATGTTAAATACTGTAAATAGTATGCTTAATCAGTTTATGCAGGTTTAGATAAATTTGCAATTTTCCATGCAAAATGAATGGGTATACCCTAGAGAGGGTTTGCATAACGAGGTTGCCCGTTGCTGTTGTCTTCAATGCGAAACGTGGTCTATAATTGCATGGTACCATTGGGATTTTCAACATTCCATGCTTGGAGAATCCAAATGTCAGGTCCACCTGCTTTCCATGTGCACACAAGATTTAGCACCTTCAATTCTTTCTAAACAACATGTCTGTAACTTTATTAACGTATGATTAAATTATACAGCCGTATCACACATAAATGAGTCCTTTCCTTTCTCTTTCTCTCGCTCTCTTTCTCTTTCTTTTATTCTTTACCCATCTAGAGATCGGACTCGTATTCTTTTATCAACGATGACCGCAACTGAAAATAATATAAATATAATAGTCGATTTGGTAGATTTTTACTTTCAAAAAGCGTTATTTTTATGCTCAATTATTCACAGAATCAAAAGAGGATTTTTACTTTACGAAATACGGACCTTAAAATAATATAATACAAACATCTATCAATTATCATTTACACAAGCAAAAATGATGTGCGTGCGTAAAAAATCTGAATTATTTTCGCAAAATGCAAAATACTTGCATCTAAAGTAATTTTACTAATGTAATTAATGTGTAGAAACTATTAAAGGGATTTTTTCATTTTATCTATGAGAAGCATAGATGATGCATAGAGCATGCATACGTTTATACGTGTGATGTAGTTGTATTTATACATTGTATACGTGTGAGATCAATGCAACGCAATCTTTTGCAACATGCATTGATATCTCAATTTATTATTTCGCATAAATATTAAAGAAAGAATCAATGTTTAAACAATCAATTTTTTTACACTCAATAACATTTCCATTGAATTAATAAACATCAATAATTGATCGATAATTTTCGTAATTTAAAAAAATAACTATTTTAATGTTAAACTAAAAAGTTGAAGGCTTACTTCGATCGATTAATAAATGATTAATTCAACCAACAGAAGTACAAATTTCTAACTATATAATTTATCATCTAAATCTAAATTGTAATCTTATTTACATTCCAAATTACAAAACATTAATAATTCTATCTATGATAATCAAATATTGCGGATATTTCTTGATAACTTAACCGTTGATTAAATTAATTGGAGTTAAGATTCGATCGAAATCACCCTAAGGGCTTGGATAATGAATGTTAATGAGGAATATGCGATAAAGAATTAAACACGCTGAGTTAGGAACAGGGAAATTAATTTCGATAAGAAAGATTTAATTCTCTCACGGTGAAGAAATTTTATATGTTCACCGCAATAAAGTTTAATAATAAAACTTAATCGAACAAAAAGGTTATCGGTATAGGGATTACTAGAAGTCAAAAACATCAGGAAACTAATCAGTTTCTTGACAAAGAAGCATAGGACGTTGATTAATCGATCGACTTTTGTGCATCTCTACTTTTGTGTACTGGTGCTTGTAAGCTATCACCCAATGGGCAATTCAGACTGTCGACAATTGAGATTGCAGGCAATGCGATACACGGAAATTACAGACGTTATTCGCAATCGTTTTGTAGGCAAATAGACTTCCCCATTTGAAGCATCTTCAACGATCTCGCATTA